CCCTCTCTTTAACAGGACTGGCTCCAAGCCTGTACCCAGGTCACAAACCTGTATTCTGTGACATCCTTATGCCTTGGACCGGACTCCTTTGTCATTCCAAGGGAATCCCCACTTATGCAAGGACACAGGCTGGGGTGTGACCTCGGTGTCATGTGCTGTTAAGCATTTTACACAAACGGGATGTTTGAAGAGTGCTCTGTGAATAGAAAAGGCTCCAGTAACGCACATCACAACCCAATCGCATTCCCAGCGCAGGTTTAGGGCGGGCAATTCATTCACAGGCTAAGCTCAGTCATGGGACTGACGAGCATCCTCTAGCAATGTCCACGCATTGCCTGTGTTTCATTTCTGCCTTAAGAGTGCTGAGCCTCGCAACGGAAGACAAACAGCACGGCTCCCATGAGCTCTTTACTCCTGAAGCTGAGACGAACTGCTCCTTGCAAGGCGTGACTGTTGCAGCCTCACCTAAGGGAAGCACCATTCCCTGCAGAGCAAGCTGCAACCTGCCTTAGACCAAGGGCCCATTAGGGGTAGTCATTAGCTGGTCCTTGCCTTTGAACCTTGCCGATGGTGGTATTTATATTCTTAAAACTGGGAGGGGAAGGGAGGCATTTCAATGGGGTGGGCCTCGTTTGGGGAGGTAAGCCATCAGCTAACAGAGTCTGCAGATGACTTCACAGAGACTTTGAAGGAGATGGCCAAGGGCTGTTTAGTGCTCAAAGTCATTGATGGCTATGGGCCTGGATGACAGACTTGGGCTATGCACCGGGTAGAGAAGGTAAGAACTAGCAACAGTGGTCAGTGTTAATGAGTACTTCCTAGGGGCCAGGCACTGTACATGACTTATTTAAAACTCCTCATGAATAGGACTTGTTATCCCCATTTCACAGAAAAGGAAACTGAGTCTCAGAGAGGTTAAGTAATCTGCCCAGGTCACACAGCTGGGATGCCTGAGGGTCGGATGTCTGTGATGTCCTGGATGTCTGAATCCAGCTTCCACACTCTGAGCCTCAACTGGTCCATGGTTCTCCCTCTTTGTGAAGCAGGAAAGAAGCCAGGCTGAGAAGGGGAGAAGAGGGAGAGGAGAACAGGGGGAGGAGGAGAGGCAGGCAGGGTTGCAGGAGTCAGGGAGGGAGTCTGGGCAGCCTGGGTGATTCGCCCCAGGCCTCCCAGAGGAGCCTGACCTGTTTGGCAGGAGGGTCAGCTGACAGCCATCTTCAGAACTCCAAGGGCAAATTCAGGAGGTGTGGCCACCGAATCAACTTCAAAAGCAACTGTGTGTGTTTCACCCTTGGGTATCAGTGGGACTTTTTGGTTTGCAAGTGACAGAAAACCTAATCAAACCTGCCCAACAGAAAAAAATAAATACAAGCTCATGAAGCTGAAAAGTGCAGAGTAGATGGCTTCGGACAAGGCTGTTTCCAGGGGTTCAAATGATGCTTTTCTCTGTACTGTCTCCTCTCCCAGGCAGGTGCTGTCCCAGAAAGATGGTCACCAGCAGGCTTATGTGCGAGCGCTTAGTAACCCCAGTGGAGAGAAATGCCTCTCACAGGCGCCAAGAGAAACCCTAGGGCTGAATGGCATTGACTCAACTAGCTCAGCCTGGGTCAGGTGTCTGTCTCTGAACCAATCACTGTGGCGGGGGGTGGGGAGGAGGCTCCCCCGTAGACAGAGCCAGGGCCAGCCCCACCTGAACTGTGCAGGCTGAGAGGCTGTCTCTGTGCTAGTCTGCCCCGGCTGCCATAACAAGATACCACGGACTGGGTGGTTTAAACTCCTGCATTTTCTCACAATTCTGGAGGCTGGAAGTCTGAGATCTGGGTGCCAGCATGATTGGGTTCTGTGCGGGCTGTCCTCCCTGCTTGCTGATGGCAGCCTTGTCGCTGTGTGCTCACATGGCCTTTGCTCAGTGCGTGCGCAGAGCTGGAGTAGCCGGGAGCAAGCTCTCCAGCATCTCGTCCTAGAAGGGCACTGATCCCATCACATCAGATGGGGGCCTATGACCTCACCTGACACCCTCTGTCACACGTCCCCTGTGGTTCCCACCTGAGGGCGATCTCGCCTTCCTCTCCAGCTCACTGCAGTCATCATGTGTGTCCGTGGTCACCTGCTCTCCCCCGAGGATGTTCCTTATGCAGCATTACTTGATGAGAATGTATTGGAGGGTGCTGTGCTCACAGCTGGGGATGCTGTGGACGGCAAACAGGCGTGGTCCTGCTCTCCTGACGCTTACCGTCTGGCCTGTGGGATTCAATAGTCAATCACACAAAATGACAACTTGACAAGTACTCTGGACCTCAAGGCCGTTCCTTGAGGGATTTCTTCTGGGAATCAGGGCGGGCTTCACAGAGGAGGTGACAAGGTCTGAGCTGAGTCTAATGGATGAGGAGAAGTTACCTGGTTCCCAGGCAGAGAAGAGAGCTCCAGGCAAAAGAGACCGCATGTGGCCGTGGGAAGGCAGGGCTGCGGCTGCTGGGAGGATGAGCTCTTGTTGACAAAGAGGGAGCCCCAGCTAGGCCCTTTCACGCTGCACCTTGGTTTCTCCCTGCAGGAGTGCCAGGTTTATTACTCGTTTGTTCACTGTTCTGATCCCCTCCTCTTGCCCCGACCCAGCTCAGGACTTTTCATTTCGTGTCAGAGCTAGCGAGGCTGCTGGCTTCTGGCTGAGCCTAATGCTAAGCGACATCCTCAGGAGATAGAGAAAATGGACAGAAATGTTTCTAGTGCCAGGAGAGAGGCACCTCCCAGCAGACGAGCCTTGCTGATGTCATCGACTCCCCCTCTCTCTTCAGAGGCCTTTTGTTTGTTTGTTCCTCTTTGGGGATGATGAATGAGAACCCACCTGCTACAACACCCTCACCCAAAACATGAGACAACCGAGGCCACCACCAAAGAAGCCTCCAGGAAATGATGATACACTCCAAGCCAGCCCCCCTCCAGAGATGCTCATATCCTAATGGTTAAGAGCATGAACTTGGAGCCAAGGTTTAGCTCTCAGTTCTGTCACTTACCGGAGGTGCAATCTTGCACAAATTGCTCAACCTCTCCAAGCCTCAATTTCCTCATCTGTGAGATGGGGAGAATAATTTCAATCTCCTAGGGTTGCTGATTTATTTTAAGTGTACCTTTCACCCAGCCAACTGAATGTTTTTAAGTGTTCACCTGAGTGCACTCAGTTCCCCCATTTAGACTGTGAGCTCCCTGAAAGGAAGGACTCTGCCTGCCTTGTTCACAGTACGTCCTCAGTAACTAACACTGCCTAGTGCAAGGTAGGTGGTGAGGAAGTATTTGTGATAACAGAAAGCCCTCAACACAGTGCTTGGTACATGGAGAACAACCACCAACATAGGCAACCATCAGTATGAACAGAGGAGGTCCATTGTTTATGATGGGAAACTAGTTTTAGTTTGAAAACCATCAAATAACCAGGAATTGAAAGAACCAAGTTCTCTGGGATGGCCCTGTGGTCAGGGGGCTCTCCTGGGGCCAAGCTCCCCAGCACCCCATCCATGCAGGTCCAGGTACCCAGAGCCCCTTGGAGCCACCTTGCTCCAGGGTCTCACCCCACTGTCCTCTCGAAGGACCTTGTCCCCAGAGTCAGGACTCCTTTCCTAGGGCTTCAGAATTCCTGTCTTCTGCTGTGGAAGGCTTGGAGCAAGTGGGACAAAGTCACAGCTCACCCAGTCTGCAAGAGGAGGGTGTGGGGAAATGGAACAGTTGCTGGATAAATTACAGGACTCCCAGTTAAGTTTGAATTTCAAATAAACCACGAAATACCTGGGGGTTTTTGTTTGTTTGTTTGCTTTTTGAGACAGGGTCTCTCTGCGTTGCCCATGGTGGAGTGCAGTGGCTGTTCACGGGCACGATCGACCCTAGTGCACGGCAGCCTCCATCCAACTCCTGGACGCAAGCGATCCTCCCACATAGCTGGGACTACAGGCATGCGCCACCACACCCAGCTACGAAATAACTTTTTAGTAAAACTACATCCCAAATGGTACACAAGATGTAGTGATCCTTTTAAAAAAATAAAAAGTATTTGTTGCTTATCTGAAATTCAAATTTAACTGGCTGTCCCTGTATTTTAATTTGCTAGATCTGCCCTACAGAGTGGGAGAGCGAGGATTATAACCCAGGCTTGCCTGACCTGTGTGGACCTTTCCCGGTCCCGCAAAATTAGGATGACAACATTAGAACTCCCTGGGCATGTCAAAAGAATTAGGACAGGCTGAGTGAAAGGGCTTCGTAAGCCCTCAGCCACTACGTAAACATTAGTAAGGGCAGGAACTGTGTTTGCCTGGATCACAGCTGAACCCAGTGCCTAGACCTGTACCTGACACAGCTGATCTTCATAATTATTATATTTGTTATAATAGAAAATAGGACTGGGCGCGGCGACGCACGCCTGTAATCCCAGCACTTTGGGAGGCGAGGAGGCAGGATCGCTTGAGCCCAGGAGTTCGAGGACGCAGTGAGCTCCGATCAGCCTGGACCACAGAGCGAGACCCTGTCAAGAAAGAAAAAGAAAAGAAGGAAAGGAAAGAAGGAAGGAAGGAAGGAAGGGAAAAGAAAGACGAAAGAAAGAAAAAAAGAAGAAAAGAGAGATCGCTGATACTATTTTCCCTAAATAGGCCCCCGCAAAAAATAATAAAATCATCTCAAGGAAATCTCGGTCCAACATCCCAAGCATGCCACAGAAATGTCTCTCAGCCCAGCCCCGCTGGGCCCCTCCACCTACGGACCGAGTTCCAGGAGGCGCCCCCCTACCGGACCTCCCAGGTGGGATCACACCTGAGAGAGCCCTGCGCTTGCGCACTCCACCCAAAGGGCGTGCTATACGCATGCGTCCGTCTAGCCCTCTCCCCCACCAGCCCCCGGGCTGCGATGTGCGCACGCGCCGTCCCAGTCAGAAGGCGCGGGAAAGCGCGCGCAGCCCCGTTCGCGAGCGCAGCGTGCGACGCACCGCGCGGTCTCTGCAGCTTTTTGCCGCCTCCGCCCTCATGGCCTTTGCACCCATGGGGCCGGAGGCCTCGTTCTTCGAGGTTTTGGACCGGCACAGGGCTTCCCTGCTGGCCGAGCTGAGGCGAGCTGGCGGGGAGCCCCCCTGTGGGGGAACCCGCCTGGCTTCTAGGTACTAGAGCCCCGGCCAAGGCCGAGGAAGCCCGGGAAGGGGCCTCGGCCCGGACGTGGCTCGAGGCAGCTGCTATTTGGAGGAACGTTGGGGCGCCGGTTGTCGCCCGGGGACCTCCCTAGTGTAGAGGCCGGAGGAGGGGCCCGGTGGCAGGCAGCCCGAGAAACACCCTTCGTTAGTTTTCCTCCGGTACCTTTCTGGTGACAGGTGCCTCCGTGTCTTCTAGAATGTTCCCCTTCTAGAATGTTCCAGGAACATCCCTGTAACTAGGTTTGAAGGTTTCCTAAGATCCTTACAGGTCAGGGAGTTTGGGGTACAGGTTGGCTTTGTATTTTAATTTTTTTCGGATAAAATTTTAATTTAAAAAGCTTTCAGGATTTTCTTTGATGAGGAACGTGAGAGGCTGAATGCAGTAACCCTGGGTCAGCTAACGGTTTTCTCAGAATGAAGAGACGTCAACGCGTTTTAAAGGGTTCATAATAAAACGTTTTTCTTGAGTGGGAAGTGGAGAGAATGTATATATTTTAAATGATTTATTTAAAATCAATTACGGAAACTCGCCAGCTACCCAGGTTGAAATTAACTACAGAAAACATGTTTCCGGCCACTTTTACTCAAAATGCCCTGCTGTTTTGCTTCCCTGAGCTGCTTTTCTGGTTTATCGGCAAAGTTTTTCCAGCCTAAATGAATTTCTTGTATTTTGAAGTCCAACGACTAAAAAATCCGAAAAGCCCGCAAGCAAACACGTTTTTACAAAAGGACTTGGATTGAGAGAGAACCTGGGAGGGCGACGCTGGGAGTTCGGTTCCCGCTGGACATGGATCGTCTGATGTGTCCAAAGCTGGTTACAGTAGGAGCCTAAACCTTGTTTTTTCCAAATTGGGAAAAACACATGAGATATTGTGGTCAGTTTTTACCCTCAGTATTAGAAAATATTGAATGTTTTAAAGTCCATTTTCTGATGACGTAAGTTTTCAGTGAAAGCTCTGCAGTTTCAGTGGAAATTAAAACCCTCAACATTTTGCCCATTTTCTAGATTTAATTTGATTTCTCTTCCTAGACAATATGCTAATGGTATTTATAACAGAACAACATTTTTTGAAGCTGATGGCTTGTGAAATTAAAAGTCAGCTGACAGAAAACTGGGCTCAGTCTTCGTATTTTGCTGTAGAGTGGTGCAGTAGCTGCCAAGTCAACTGGTGCAGAACTCATGATTTATTCTTTTTATGGTAGTGATTAAACTTTTTCCTTTTTGTATCACTAAATTTCAAAAGGGCTGATTTTAAGGCACGAGATCAACTAGGGTAAAGTGCTATAAGTGGTGTTTCTTTTTGAAATATTTTTGCATTCCACTTTTGGGAAATAGTCAAATGATTATATCGTTTTTAATTAAAACATTCATTAGTAGTATTTCAAGCCAACAAGTTTGTATTTAAGTACAGCTAGATTAAAGTAGGTTAATATGAAGAGTAGATAAAAATATAGTGTATCTACTTCAGGGGTGGAATATATTATCTAGTCCAGGGGTGGAGAACCTGCGGCCTTAAGGCCACATGTGGCTTTCTAGGTCCTTCAGTGCAGCCTTTTAACTGAATCCAAATTTTACAGAACAAATTTAAAGGCTGCATTTAAGGACCTAGAAGGCCATATGTGGCCTTAAGGCCGAAGGTTCTCCACCCCTGATCTAGTCATTAATGTAAAAGGGAGATCTTATTCAATTGGTAATTGTTTGAGAAATAAAATTATTAATACAAGCATCTCAGAGTACAGGAGAGGAAAAAAGAAAAAAAATTACAAGTAAATGAAATTTCTTTTTAAGTAACCACTGTAAATGCAGTTGTTTTACTGCAGTACTGATGGGAAAATTCAGTGGGAGAGATCATTGCTGATGTGGGTTACCTACTCTTAAAACACAACCAATGGAACAAAAAGTGATTTTAGTATCATCTGGGGAAATCATATATTATAAAATAATAATTTATTATTAAGATTGAATCATAATGTGTTTATTGTTTTAGTTCTGAGGTTCTCGCATCTATAGAAAATATTATCCAAGACATAATTATAAGCTTGGCCAGAAATGAAGCACCTGCATTCACAATAGACAACAGATCAAGCTGGGAAAATATAAAGTGGGCATTTTGCATTTTTATTTTTAAATACATTAGCTATGTTGTTATTTGAATTTAGAGTTCTAGTCATATTTCATTCTTTTTATTGCCTTTCCCCTGCCAAAAAAGGATTTAGGAAGTTTACAAAATACATACTATACAGAATATGTAAACTAGAAGTCAGTGTGAAAGATAAGGCAGAGGAAAAACAATGCTAGCAACAAAAAAATGGAGCTCCGAAAGAGGTTACAATTCAAAATGCATGTGACAAAGTCTTATAATCTTGCTAAAAATAGACACCAAGCTTCCATCTGAGCTTTCTAGCACTCAGAGGGGGGGATAGGATGGGCACAATTCTTATCTATACTGCAAAAGCAAACCGCTTGCTCAAGGGAAGTATTTAATATGACTAATCCTGATACCCAGACAGAAATGAAAGTATCCTGAACATCAAGCATGTTTACAAGGGTCTTTTTCCTGGCAGATTTTCTACCCCTGCTAAGTCATGTTTACAAAAGGGGCAAAATCAACAAACAGCTTTACCAAAGTCCTTGAACCTAGTTATGTAGTTTTTTTTTTTTTAGCTTATAAAATCTTCTCTACTAAATAATGAAAAACACTGCAAGAATGGTCTCATACTTTGTAAGAGTTGCAGAAACAAAATAAAAGGAATTTTGAGGCTCCTTAGTCACTATGATTTTATGACCAATATATAATTAATATTAACTGTATACTTTGAATCATACTTTGCATTGTATTTGGAAAGATGGATTTCATCTAGCTTCTAAGCAGCTGACACCTGGCATCCTTGCCTGGTGTCTTCTGCCACCTTTAGGAGAGGCTAGGTAGTTCAATTTAACAACCTAATATAAATTGTTATTTTATGTAATGTAACTCTGCAGGCAAATCAAAAATAAAATATTTCAAAACTTACTATTAAATGATTAAAATGCTAAAAATTGTGAAATATTTGAGAACATTTTACATAGACTAGAAATATCTTCCCAGGAAAGAAGTACATCTATACACACACACTCCCTGATCAAAGATATTTAACTCATTTATTTTAAATACTTTATCTTAGTGTCTCTGTATGTCACAAACCTAACTGCCTAGTTACCGTCTGGAATGATCTAAGCTTACAAACCAGGTGATCCTAAAGCTTCTGTGCTTACACTCAGAAGAAATGTGGGATTTCAATGACGTGCAGAAGACTTAAGTGTACATTGTCAGAAGTTAAGTCTTTTCCACTTTATTCTCTTGCTTTAACCAAAATGACAGGTTTGAAGATTCTGTGGGTCTTCAGATGGTTTCTCATTGTACCACAAGAAAAATCAAAAGCGATTCACCAAAATCAGTTCAAAAATTTGGTAAATTAATCTTTCTTAGCTTTTAGCAATAAAGAATAAATATATATGGTCATCTTCTAGATTTTATTTGTCTCTAGTTAAACAATTTTACTTGTTCTTCAGTAGATCACCCTTGTACTTGAAATAAAAGTCTAGAATTTTTTATTGTCAATAACTATGGAAGTAGATTATCATTTCAAAATAAATGTATTTTTCAAGGTATATGATTCAGTGGAAAATTATCCTCTCAGTTTTGTTGTCCATAGAGCAACTAACTTTATCTGATTCTTCAGGCAATTATTCTATACTTAACCCTTCTATTTTGGAAAGATAATTTTTTAAATATTATGGAAAGTAACTGAAAGTAAGTTAAAATCCTTGATAGCAGTGTCTTCTGAGTTAGTAGGAGAAATGATGAATAACTTGTTTTCTGCATCTTGTTTTCCAGCTCTAATTCTGAAAATATTGTCCACGATTTATAAATTAGTACAGAGCAACACTTACGCAACCAAAAGGTAAATATATTGTTCTAGTAAATTACTCTTTAAAATGTAATATGAGATTTAGTTGGATTAACTTTTATTATATTGTTTGAAAAGTTATGTAAGCCTAAACTATGAGTAACACATTACTTCTTTTATATGCTGTGTTTTCATTCAGTTAAAGCTTTCTTCAAATAGCACACCAGTACTTGTCATATTTAAAGAGAATATGGTTAACTGAAAGTATATTTTTTAAATTTTCATAGAGACATATATTACACTGACAGCCAACTCTTTGGTAACCAGACTGTTGTGGACAATATTATCAGTGATATTTCTTGCATGTTAAAAATGCCAAGGAGAAGTCTGCATATAGTAAGTAGTACTTAGTACAAAATATTTTATTTTAAAACAAAATGTATAAAATTATAATAAAAATAAATATAACCTTTGCCTTCTTTTGATACTATATTTTTTCTCACTGTAAATTTAAATAATCTGTTCTCAATATATCCCTTTGGATGAATGGACTAAAACATACGAATAACTACCAAATAGTTTTACATCCTAAATACCCGTACATGTTTTCTCTTCATCTGTTAAATTCCAATCTGAGCTAATAAACAAATAATTTAGCAGGTGAACACAAAGAGTAACTTAGCAGCATAAAACATACTAGTGAAAAAGGTTTCAAGTATGTCTATTTTTTCTAGTTATCTACATCGAAAGGTTTAATTGCTGGCAATTTACGATATATTGAGGAAGACGGCACCAAAGTGAACTGTACTGGTCGTGCAACAGTAAGCATCATTCGTGTTTTCACACTTTACTCCCTTTCAGTTCCTTTGATTTTGAAATGTATTTTATTTCTTGCTTTGTTATGTACTTCAGAGCTTAAGATTTTAAAATAAAACTGAAAGAAGACTAGGTGTATGCTTTACAGGTTTGTACATTACATAGTTTCAAAATATGCTAATTGTCAAATGTCATATTGAAATAAACATACACATTCCTTTTAAAATATACTTTTATTTTCAGGTGGAATGTGGCTTAACCATTTTAGCATGGTTATTTAATAATCTTCATGACGTTTTGTGGTTCTGAAAGTAATATATTTAATACTAAACTATTTGGTGGGCTTTGGTAGTAGAGAGCCCACAGTCCTAAGCTAGTACTCCTACTGGGAGAATTAGGGTGGGTCATGTGTCTGTTTTCTTATTGAGGGATAAATCTGTTTCCTACTACTTTCTTACTGGGGAATAAGTCTCTAATGACTGGTATAGTCAAAGAAAAATGAAAACATTGTGAAAAATTATAAAATGTAGTTATACTTGTGTTTTATTTAAAATAAAAACTGTCTTTTTTTAAAACTTAGGCTATTGCCGTGCCCTCTAATATTCAAGGAATTCGGAGTATCCTTTAAGTGGGAAAACTATTTAAACTTATGGAGTGTTCATTCATTCATTCCTTTGGTAAACCAAGCGTTCATAATGCATAACGAACAAGTTACACCCTATAGCAGTCATGAAGAACACAGCATAGTCCCTTCTTTAGGACTCTTTTGGGAGCTCTCTATCTAGTGGAAGAGACAGATACCTGAATATATGAATAGATATGTTTATATATTTGAAGGTGAAAATGAAAATATTATATCTATAGCTGCTTTTGAATTGATCTATATGGCACTGTAATTTAGTTGATGATTAAATTGAAATGCTCTTGCCTTCAATTCATCAGCCTTAACTTCACAGATTTAATTACAGATGCAAAATTTGTGTTAATTGTAGAAAAAGATGCAACATTTCAGCGGCTCCTAGATGACAACTTTTGCAACAAAATGTCTCCATGCATCATGGTTACGGTATATCATCTACCTTTCCTACAATTCCAAAGCTAGCATACACCCCCATGGTGGTTGGTAAGAGGCTTATAACATTACCTGTACAACAACCTGTTTTCAATATTTACATCATTTGGGGTCACAGAACAGGAATTTCCAAGGTGTTTATTTAAACATCCTCAAATCTATCACCTCTATCACCTCAAGATCATATTTCTAAAACCACACTCAAAATCTTTCTTCCATGAAGAGCTGAGTGTTCCTGTCACTTGTCCTGTAGTTATCAATGGTCATACGGCAGTGAGGTCCACACAGCAGGGTCATTTTGACTCACTCCTTACATCCCATGGTCAACAAGTCCTTTTGAATAGGCCTTGGGACTGTCCTTTGTTTCAGTCCTTTCCCCATAATCATTCCCCTTTCATCCTTACACCAGGACAACCCCCGGTGTAAGACCCCCTAGTCTCCAGAGAGGCCGCTGACTCCAGTTATCTCTCACTCCACCTATTAATAATTGATAAGCTGCCACACTAATCCTCGTCATTTCCCTCCTCTCCTATTCAAAAACTTTTGTTAGTGCCTGACATTTCTACACTAAACTTTCTGGATGCCTCCTTGGGATTAGCTAGGCCTTCTAAGATTCCATCCAGCTGCCTGACCCCTGCCTCCTCACTGCTTCCACAAATATCCCTCACAACCCCCCAGAAGAGGGGGCTGGGAATCCAGGGCCATGCAAGGAAGCAACCGTTTTCCTTGGATACTGGTTCGCATGTTGTCGTTTCCCAGAGGAAAACGTTAAAGTACACTACTGTTGACTAAGTGCTCGTGATGAGCCAGGAACCCTGCTAAGCACTTTACATAGTAAGAGTTCACACTTACTGCTATTTATCACATACCAACTTCTGAAGACACTAAACAACTTAGTGAGGTAGGTACTGTTGTCATCCCCACTTTAATAACAGGGTACTGGGATACAGGTAAATGGTTCACCACAATCCTATGGCTGATCAAAGCCAAGACTGCAATTCAGAGAGTTGAGCTCCATGTTGCTATAACGTCATAAGTCTATGTGGCAGGCATATTTATCCTGATTTTATAGATAAATCCACAGCCTAAAGAGACTAAGCAACTTGCCTAAGATCACACCACTGATGATGGGCAGAGAGGGAATTCAAACTCAGAGCTGTCTGATCCAAAGCCCATTCTTTTTTTTTTTTATTTCAGCATATTACAGGGGTACAAATGTTTAGCTTATATAAATTGCCTTTGCCCCATCCGAGTCAGAGCTATAAGTGTGTCCATCCCCCAGATGGTGCACACCGCACCCATTAGGTGTGAATATACCCATCTCCTCCTCCCTCCTCACACCTGCCCAACACCCAATGAATGTTACTACTATATGTCCACATAAGTGTTAATCAATTATACCAATTTGATGGTGAGTACATGCGGTGCTTGTTTTTCCATTCTTGTAATACTTCACTTAGTAGAATGGGCTTCAGTTCCATCCAGGATAATACAAGAGGTGCTAGTTCACCATTGTATTTGTGGCTGAGTAGAACTCCATGGTATACATATATCACATTTTATTAATCCACTCATGTATTGATGGGCACTTGGGTTGTTCCCACATCTTTGCAA